TTCATCATGTTCATGTACTGCATGGGGCTACATTACATACACAGTGATCACAGAAGGTTAAGAGGTTTTTATGTGGCTAGGTAAATGTAATTTACGCTAAGTTGAACTGAAAACAACTGCTGGCCAGCATTAGCCCTCCTTAATGCAGGACAGTCTACAGGTTCTGCAGGGAGGCTCAGAAATTTACAGCTCTCCTGTTGACATCAGGCTGTATATTGAGTACAGCAAGAACAACAAAATCCCAGCTCCATCATAGAGAGCTGACAGTTGTAGAGGAAAACTAGTTTTTTTAGAGAGGAGGTTTCACTCTAACTGCAGGTTCTGGGACCTTGTTCACATGAGCACAATGAGGCCAAAGTACAATCTACTTGTAAGAAAATGTCTAGATTATTTCTTGTGGTAAAATGAATGAGGTGATAGAGTTTTAAATACAATGTACAGCTCTGATGTACATTTCTCCTACCCACCTCTTGCCTGAGCTTCTGGGGTCAGGGTGCTAGGGTCAGTGTTAAGAGGCTGCGTTCTCGACACGACTTCACTCAATAGTTTGTTCACAACATGCTGAGGAGGGTGCGTGGCAGACATTTCAACCAGTCGTATGCGCCAGTTTTTCACAGAGTGGATGACACCAGAAGGGTCTCTGATATGAGCTGTAAAATAATAAGATGTACATTGTCAACAATGGTTACGGTAGTCAACAACAGCAATTAGAAAATGGCCCAAAGAAAATAAGTGCACTGATCGTTTTAACATTGTGGTTCTATTAAGCAATTAGATTATAAGCTCGAGATTTCTACCATGTGATAGTTGATGAGGGCACAGCCTGAGGTCAACTATCACACATAGAAATTGAGAGTGAATAATCTCATTGTTTCAGTATAAATCTACTAGTCCTTCAGAACTTTATCTAGATAATTTTCACAGACACCTTGAAAACACAAAGAAGCGGCCGTCATTCTGTTAACAAGCACACACTGCTACGCTAATTGGCAATCAGAGAACGACATTCGTGATAGAACGCTAGTAGCTAATCAGAGAATGGCAAGTATCAGAGCTTAGCCAATCAGAGAACAGCATTTGTGATAGAATGCCAGTAGAAACTCGGAACTGGTACAAGCCGTTGACGTAAATGCAATGATGAGTAATCAGGAGTCATGTCATTTTAAGTCAGTTGACAAATCAAAGCATTAATAAGTACAGTCAAACCATCACAATGGCCACTCTTTTTGTCTGAGCTGACGGTCCATACATTCACTCTTATTTTTAACCTCTCTATAATGGGCACTTTTTTGGTCCTGGCCAAAGGTCCATATATTCACTCTTATTTTAACCTCTATACAACAGCCACCTCTCCACAACAGCAACGGCCACTGAATTGCATCCCAACTGCCAAAATAGCATCTCATCAATGGACAGATAGTCAATGATTGACAAATGGTGTTTATATAAACTGTCTAGAAACCCCATTTCTTATTGCAAAAGGTCACCAAACTTGATCTCCTGGAGTTAGTGACAACAGGC